TTATAATTAATAAAGCTTGATTCATTTATGTGCGCATTTATATATAACGCATTTTTAATAAATAATTGTTGATAATCCTGACATTGTCTTGACATAGTTCTGAAACGTATTCTGAAAATACTAATTAACTTCCTAATAACTATTATGATCCAGATAACAATATCAACATCATTATAACGATGATTAAAGTCATTTTTCGTCATTCGTCATCAATGTACTAAATAATGACGTAAAATAAACGTTACATTTGTCATGAAATATTATCATAAATATATCATTATTTAATCGTTTTTATTTTTAAGACATTTTTAATGAATAAATAATGATAATGAAACATTATTAATTACTATCTTTCTTAGTTAACTATAATATATAAATAAGAAAAATATTTCCCATATTCAATACAATTATTAACAAATTCATAAACAAATATGCAAAATATATACAACAATTTTCATAAGGAAAATGATTCTCATTAAACATCCCAGCAAGCAAAATGCTAGCAATTTGCTAGCAGATTGGCAACAAATTCAATTAGATATTGACTACAAATCCATAACCATCTGTATCCGCATTAGTCTCGGGATTTGTCGCTGACATGTTATGCCAGCAGATTGACGGCAGAAACCAAGCAGAGTCTGTTGACATACTATGCGAATAGATTGGCGACAAAAATCAAGCAGAGTTTGTCCTAACTTCCTTGTTGGACGATTATCTCATCTTGCATCAAATATATACATAAAAATACATAAATAATAAATGCATGTTTAAATTTTGATTATGATTTCGCTTATATAGAAAGTTTGATAAATTTTGCATATGAGAAACGGATGCCATCTAGCGGTAGTTTTCCAATTATTGTGTTTAAATATGCGTAATGACAGGCTCTGCTCGGTTTTTGTTAACCAGATTTATCATATTTTAAACTGAGATTCTGTAAAATTTATTTCATCACTTTATTTCATCATTTATTTCATCACTTATTTCATCATTTCAGTATCCTTGTAGAAAAATACTATTGTGCACCTCGTATGAAAAGGAACTATTGAGAAATATAACTATTCAGAACTATTCAGAAAACTATTAAAATTTTGTGTAGTATTATGGAACATTACTATTGAAAACATGAATGATTTACTA